ACACAGAGACTAATCCACAAAGCTACAACTATCTTATATTTGATAAAGGAGCTAAAGCATGCAATGGAGGAAGGATAGCATCTTCAACAAATGGTGYTGGGAAAACTGGAAATCCATATGCAACAAAGTGAAACTGAATCCCCTCCTCTCGCCATGCACAAAAGTTAACTCAAAGTGGATCAAGGAGGTAGATATCAAATCAGAGACTCTGCATCTGATAGAAGAAAAACTTGGCTCTGATCTACATATTGTGGGGTCGGGCTCCAAATTCCTTAATAGGACACCCATAGCACAAGAGTTAGTAACAAGAATCAACAAATGGGACTTACTTAAAGTGAAAAGTTTTTTTTTCTCAGCAAGAGAAACAATAAGAGAGGTAAATAGGGAGCCTACATCATGGGAACAAATTTTTACTCCTCACACTTCAGATAGAGGCTTAATATCCAGAGTATGCAAAGAACTCCAAAAAATTAGACAATAAAATAACAAATTACCCAATCAACAAATGGGCCAAGGACCTGAACAGACACTTCTCAGAGGAGGGCATACAATCAATCAACAAGTACATGAAATAATGCTCACCATCTCTAGCAGTCAGAGAAATGCAAATCAAAACCACCCTAAGATACCATCTCACTCCAGTAAGATTGGCAGCCATTATGAGGTCAAACAGCAACAAGTGCTGGCGAGGATGTGGGGAAAAGGGTACTCTTGTACATTGCTGGTGGGACTGAAAACTTAATTTATTTCTTATTGATTATAAGGATTGAACACAGGGTTGCTTTACAACTCACTTACATTTGCAACCCTTTATTTTTTATTCTGAGACAGTATGTCAATAAATTGCTGAAGTTGGCCTCACACTTTTAATCCTCCTGCCTCAGCCTCCAAAATAGCTGGATAAGAGGTGCATTGATACACCCCACTTTCATTTTCTTTTTTGAAATATATTGTTTAATTATGGTTAGAAGCATAAATTCACCCGATTGTAGTTTCAGGAGTTGTAAGTTGAAGCCAACAGTGATTAAGTCAATCATTCTTCAAATGAATTAAACTTAATTTTAATTGTCTTTAGAAAAGTACATCTTTGGGTTGAGAGGTGGAAAGTGTAGACATGTCATAAAGACTGTCTTTACATTTACTATAGTCATTGAATCAGAGAGGGAGTGAGAGCGAGAGAGTGAGAGTGAGAGCAAGAGAGAGAGAGAGAGAGAGAGAGAGAGAGAGAGAGAGAGAGAGAGATTGATTTTACATGGGTATCCAGAGCAAACACCTAAGGTAAGTAAGTCTGAAATCATCCTAAACTGTTTTTGTCCCAGTATTAAACTTGCCCAAATTAATGAGAAAGTTTTTTTTTTTAATCTAGATCATGCTCATTTCATTTTGTCATTTGTGTTATAGAAGAAACTCAACTTGTCGATAATATTTTTATATCTAAATTTATATTTCAGGAGGTTAATAGAAAGATTATGCATGACTCAACTGAAAAACAGTGACCAAAGCCCTTTTTATAATTGTAATTTTCGCATCAAGATAGAAGGATAACACTCTCTTCTCTCCCTCTTTCCTCTTTCTCCACCCTCTATATTTTGGTTTCAGAAACATGGATTCTCATGCCTTGCAAGACTTCCAGAGTGCACTCACATACTCTCTTTGCATGAATTACTTCTTATAACCTGTCACCATTGACTGTGGACACACCTTATGCCAACCCTGCCTCTACTTCTACTGGGATGAAGCCCAAACACCCAGGTGCTGCCCTCAGTGTAGAGAAATAGTTGAGAAGACAGACTACAGGACCAACACTGTCGTCAAGAAGCTGGCCTCTCTCGCCAGACAGGCCAGACCTCGCTCAGACAGCAACTCTGGGGAGCAGCTCTGCAGTAGAAATGGGGAGACAAAGGGGCTCTTCTGTGAGGTGGACAAGAGCCTGCTCTCTGCACCCTGCTCTGAATCACCTGAACACGCTGTTCATAGCTACAGCCCAGAGGCTTGTGTGGCAGAGGAGAACAGGGTGAGTGATGTAACCTAGAACCTGCAGGGTCCAGATCAAAGAGAAGGATGAAGACTCATGATAATGAGGCAGATAAGCATGAAGATGGTAGAGGTGGTGATGTTTCCATGAAAATGTGCTGTATAAATGCTATATAAATGGTGAAGGTGATCCCCCATTCACTGTCTTGACAGGGTCACAGTGAGAAAAAGTGTTGGCAAAGCCACTCTCCCACTGTCTTGACAGGGTCACAGTGAGGATGAATGCTGGCAAAGCCACGCTGGTTGGTGGGTAACCGAAACCATGAGACCCTTTTTTATGTAATTGGGACTTTGCATTTTCATGCTTATGTTTCTCACAGGAGGCATGAGTATGTTAAATGCCAAACAAATTAAATTTCAGATGGCTAGAACAGAACAGGAAGTTCATGCCTTGGAGGCTATTCTACTACCCCTCAGCATATCAAGGACAAAGTAAAAGGATATTCTTCTATCTTAGTACATTGTGGACAAACCTAATAGCGGACAACAATCATCCTCTGAAAGGACATGAGAACTAGTGCACCTTGACTGAGAAACAAACTCTTTGAGAACTAGTGTACCTTGACTGAGAAACAAAGAAACTCTTTGAGAAAGCAGCTCAACCAGTTTTATGAGAATAAATTTAGGAATTAATTAAAATAGCTTTATAAGACACAGTTTTAGAATAATGCTAGAAATATTATTTTATTTAGATTCTTAAGTTTAGAAATTCTTAAGTATTTAGTTGTATAGGTTTCTGATATGCTTTAAGGATGATTCATAAACTTTAGGATATTTTAAATATAAGATTTAAATGGACTTTTTTAGATGGGAATTTTAGGTTAAAAATAAAGTACAAGTGTACTTTAGGTTAATGATTGGTTAGGAGACTTAGAGTCTGGTTACGTAGTTTGGCATTAGTTAATAAGAAAATAATATATCTTGGGAAAAATAGCAAATCTTGGGAAAATCTGAAGGCTGTAAATTGGTGACATGTTTTATTGATGATTCTGTACTTTTGATGATTGTATGGCCGGGGGTCATATCCTGGAAGGATGTAGATTGGTGTGCCCTCAATCATGGTTAAGGAAATGTCATGTCTTGGCAAATTTTAAATCATATAATTAATGACGTATTGTGAATCTATAATGATGAGAAAAATTGTAATAAAAGGGGACCCAGAGAAARCTGCTTTAGCTCTCTCTCTGAAGATTGCTCAAACAGAACGACTCCTGTCTCATCTTTTCACCGACGCCACTCATCCTTCAGGACTCCCTGGACCCCACTGGGGCAGGACCCCGGTAACTAAAAGCATAAACAAGTTGAATGCTCATGAAGGGAATTTCCCCTAGAAATATTGTCCAAAAAACAGGGCATGGTGGCTATGCCAATACTTCTAGCTCTTTAGCAAACTGAGGCATGAGGATGCTAGGTTTGTGGCCAACTTGGGCAGCTTAGCAAGACACTCTCCTTCTTTTCTTTTTTTAAAGGGCTGGGATATAGTGCAGAGGTAAATTATTGAGTGCTATGTGTGAAAATTTTTTTTCAGTATCCAGTACTGAAAAAAAAAAATTAAAAAGTAAATATATTGTCTAAATGTGTGAAATTGGGGAGCAGTACAGCAGATGGCTAGCACTAGGAGCATGAACTTCTGTTACTGAAGCCTAAACCCTTTTATAGTGAGACTATATAAAAACTGCTTTCTCGGAAAATGGACTGTATCATTTATGAACTCTTTTAAAAATCTTATTTTTTCTTCTACTTTACCCAATATTAAAATTAATTTGTACTATTTTGTAAAAATTGACTCTTTAAAACTCAAGATTACTGTTCTGCCAAACACTGCTTTATTCTAGCACACAAAAGATGAAACCTACAAGACTGTCTTCCCAATCACTAAAGCCTATGGTAATTTTGCAGGAGAAAATTGTAAAGAAAATGGATCCTTTATGGCAAAAGACTCAGGAGATGCAAGATAATCTAAATGAAGAAATTAGAAAATCTGAGTCCTTTTTGGTAAGTTTGAAAAGGTTTTATTTTTATGCAGATTAAAATGATGCTATCAGCTGAACTGGAGCTAACATTGAAGGATAGTGTTTTCCTCTCAGACAAGGCAGTGACATCTAGTAATATTACAAAAAAAAATTAAAAATGAAAGAAAAAACTGAGAAAATTCAAAAAACTATGATAATTCATTGGTGAGTGCCCAAGTCTGAAGAAACTGTGTTCTTGGGAGTTTCTCATGTTATGTTACATGCCTACACATGATGTCTGGGGGTCTGTTTTAACTTAAGGAAGTATAAGTAGCCATAAATTGTGATAACCACTTTGAATTCATAAATGTGTTAATTAAATTTTATTTTAATAAAGTGTTGTGAAACCACCATAATATGATTTGAGGTTATTTTTTAGTCCTTTCAAAAAATTTCAATACCTATTATCATTAACTTCCCATTCATTCCCACTTCACACTACCTGGAATTCTCTTAAATGTTTAGGTTTTTATGGATTTGTGTATTTCAGAAAGTTTATGAAAATCAATATGTATATGTGTTGTTTTTGTATCTTCTCTCACTTAGTATAAAACTTTCAAGGCTCATAAACAATGCAAACTATGTGTTTAATGTATATTTTTTTTATAAAACCTGTGCAAATGCTCATCAAATTGATATTTACTTATTGCCCCTAGACTCTAAATTCCAAGATCAGAAGGGTAGTACTACCATATTCTTATTATCCAAAATGCAATTCTTAGAAGGTAATACATGATACAAATGGAGTGAAAGAGTGGATTAATTAACCAATAAAAGTTATATCAAGAAATACCAGTATAGCATTAAGAAAACTTCCCAAAATGCAGCTAACAAGGGAAGAAAATACTAATAAATAATTTTAATAAAAGTCAAGTAATAGGTGATTTCCAGATTCATAATCTTCTATGGGCTGGATCTGAAAGTCCCTGAAAGGGCCATGGGTTTAAAGGCTCCTTCTTGAGATTTGCTGTTGGTTCAACAGTTATACAATCTTGGTGGTATGCAAGATGAAAAAGGGTTTCCCAGGTGGGTGGCCCAGCATCATGAGTAGACCCACTGAGACAGAATTGCAGACAACTGAGAAGTGTTGGAGATGGGATGCAGTTTTTTGTCTTGGCAGTCAGTCAGATCCCTGAGCCCTCCTCAACTAAGCAAGTCTGTTCACTTTCTTACAAATCCACATTCAATGAAGAAAATCGTGCCAGTTCAAAGTGGTTGCATTTTGTTCCAAAGGAGAAGGCAACCACACCTCACCTTTGGTTTGTCCTATTCCCTTTGGTGCCCCCCACTGCTCTGCCAGGTGACTGTTTTGCCCCATACTCGAGAATAGAGGTAAAAATAGAAGCATGGGTAAGACTGAGGTGGAATCTGAGCTGCTGTTCCAAGAGGACCACCTAGAGGAAGGAGGCTCAGGTTATTCAAATGTGGAGCAAGAGGGTGATGACCAGAAATGTGTTTGGAGGGTTAAACTGAAAACGCTGTGTTATGTTAAGGAGGAAATGGATTTGCTCACACACCTCAAAATGGATAGAATCTGGCACTACTGGAATAACAAAGCCATTCCACCTTCAGAAGATTTCTCAGAAGAAGCTGAAGTCTTGTGTCATACATAGTGCCAGCCTTCAGAGTGTCCTGAAATTGGCCACCTTATAAGTCTTGCTTGCATGTGGAGATTTTTATGCAAACTTGTAGACCATGGACATCCCTTTCGTGATCACATTTGATAACTAGAAACATAAGGATAAGACTATGGATGTGAATGTAGCCATATGCCCAAGCACGACTGATTTTGGAACCCAGGATGGAAGAGCGATTTTGAAAAAGTAGCCTTGGCAGTTGTGGAAACTGAAGGCTAGGGGGAATACAGTTACCTTGACTTGAAAAAACGGATCTCCTTGTTAGCGTTTTTGTATCACATGTGTTCAGCTTTCTCTTTTTAACAGATCAGAAAGGATATGTGAATTGCATTATTTTTAGAAGTCCCCCCCCACCCCACACACAGTAACTATATTTTGAGTGATTTATAACCACATTAAAAAAACAGTGTCAACAATGTAATTTTGTAATGACTTAGAAAACGATGAGGGATGGCAATGGAAACATAATCTCCAATTTTTAATCGGAAGAGCTGCAGATGAGAAATATAATTTAAAAAGTTATGTTTCCAAATACATTAAACTGTTACTTTTCTTTGAGGACACACTCTATTATATGGAAAAATTACTATATATATGGAATATAGGCTTACCGTTTTTTACTTAAATTTTGTCATCAACTCTTCCACTAAAATAAGCCTTAGGTGAGATACTTAGGCCTCATCACAATGTTTAAAACTTATGAGACCTTTTTTTAAATCATCCTTTTAGTGGTGTTGGGAAGTAATTATACTCAGTTCCACCAGAACCCACTGCTCCCTAGATTTAGTACTCTACTAATGAGCTCAGCCTGAGTCTTTTCTGTCATGCCTGGTGAGTGGCACACACCTATAATCCCTAGCAGCTTGGATATAGAGGTGGGAGGATTGCAATTTCAAAGGTAGCCTCCACAAATTAACAAGGCTCTGAGCAGATTTGTGAAACCCATTCACAAATATGACTCAGTAGTGAATTACCCATGAGTTCAATCCCTGCTACAAAAAAAAAAAAAATCATTTATTGAACATTCTGAGCACATTTGTGAAACCTAGTAACCTAGTCACAAGTGTGGCTCAGTAGTGAAGTATAACCCTGGGCTCAATCCCTGCTACAAAAAAAATATCATTTATCCAACATTCACATTATGAAACTTATATATTCTGTTGTTCTCTCAAGAGCTGTTCAGAGAGGAATACTATATGAAAAAATAAACCTCCATATAATTAAAAACACACAATATTTGATTTTGATTTTGGTACTTTTACCAACAATCAGTTGATTTTAGATGTCTGTGCTTATGTCTGGGTCCTCTCTTTTAATCCATAAATTATTTTCTTGATGATTCTAAGGAAAAAAATGAACTCATCATTTCTTTGGGAATAAGGACATGTAATCCTTTTGAATGAATATCTCTGCAGGACTCTGTGTCTTTAAGGAAGAACATGATCCAAGTTCAATATCAGATGATGTATCAGTTTCTTCTTAAGGAGGAGAGATTTCAACTGGCAACACAGAACAGAAAAGCAAAGGAAATTTTCCAGCAACTCAGGGACAGTGAAATCAGAATAGCCCCAAAGAGGGAAAGGCTGAAGGAAATGTAGAGAGAGTTGAATGAGATGTTACCTGGCATTGTTCCAGGTGAGGAGAGAGGAGCCATCCTCAGAAATAGGAATCCTTGTTTAGGCAAAGTTGCTTGCAGAGACCACTATTCTCAGTGGAGGGACATGTGCTCCTTCATACCCAACCCTACATTGGGTCAATCACTTGTTTCTGTGCCTTCTGGTAATCTTGGGGAATATTTTTAGTAGCTAATAGAGTATAAAATATTTTTCTCTGTGTCCAGGAGACTATTCATACAGAAAACTCTGGCTAAGGGAATATTAACTTCATTTTTTAATCAAATTATGTTACCTAATTTACCACCATCTGTTGTCTGACCAGAAATCAATTTCTGAAGACACTGAGAATTCATCCATGCCTAAGCAAAAGTACAGAATTCATAAACAATTCCCATGCTTTCTGCCTTTATGTGATTCCCTGTTTGGTTTTAATTGCTGCCTGCTGAGAACCATAGCCTAGTCGGAATGACGCATGGCGTTTTTGCCAGAAGTAGTGGTTGTGAGGTGATGCCAGTGTGCCATTAAGATGATGACTTTCGAATTCTCATGGAGTTCCCCTTGAGTTCTGGTTGAGCTCTTGCGGGGATTCCTGGAGAGTTTGCGTTGGTTGGTGAAGTTCCTGTGAAGGGAGTTCCTGTTGGTGTGTGGTGTTCCTGGAGGAGCCCAGTGGTGTTAGGGAGAGTTCCTGGGGAGTGTGTGTGGAGTGTGCTGGTGGAGTTCACAAATAAAGTTTGTTCCTCTTGAGTGGCTCATGATTTGTGCCCAGCCAGACTTTGGCAGTTGCCAGATGGTCAGACTTCTCCTTTATAATAAGACTATTAGAGGAGTGACACTGGGTTCCTGGGTCCGATCACCTCAGTGCACAACTTCTTTCTGAGCTCCCTCACTCTCAGTGCAGTGCACACCAACAATGTCTCTCATGGGCTTTTTTTTGTACTCTTATGAACAAAAGCTATGATTGCAACTTACAAGGTAATAAGAAAAAATACTTTATTAAAACATATAAGTAATACTAAAGAAGCAGAAGCTCAGAATTCTCCTGATTAACATTATTTTTCTTTCTTGAAGGAATTGAAAAGCATATAGAGGGCTGCACATGTGACTCAAGCGGTAGTGCACTCGCCTGGCATGCGTGGAACCCAAGTTCAATCCTCAGCACCACATACATACAAAGATGTTGTGTCTGCCAGAAACTAAAAAAATACAACAAGTGCTGGCGAGGATGTGGGGAAAAGGGTACACTTGTTCATTGTTGGTGAGACTGCAAATTTGTGCAGCCAATTTGGAAAGCAGTATGGAGATTTCTTGGAAAGCTGGGAATGGAACCACCATTTGACCCAGCTATTCCCCTTCTCGGTCTATTCCCTAAAGACCTAAAAAGAGTATGCTACAGGGACACTGCTACATCGATGTTCA